ATTAGGGTTTTAGCAATGGGGTAATATATAAAAGCTCCATTAGGAACGGCAGCTGACAGCATTGGGATGCTGCTACTGGAGCACTCCTTGGACAATTAGCCCAGGTAAGCACCAACCAAAACCCACTCCACTGCTTTTGGCACCAGAGTGCAATGTTTTCATTAGCAAACAGGCACTATTTAGTGTCTTTCTTGCCATAATTATAAGGGTCCACTTATAATTCTGTGCTTTCAACTGTTCTTGATTATAAGACTTCTTAATTGTGCCACCATAAAACACGTTTTCACGGGGAATCTGTTTTCCACTTTAAAGCCTCTCCTGCAGCAATGTATTTGCCTTACAAAACTTCAGAATAAAGGGTAGAGGCCTCTGTAAATTCATAGTCTATACCCTCAAGGAAAAATTACTTTGTTAGAATAGCAAAGTGGCCCTAGTTTGGCCTTATTTTCTAGCAAAAACTCATTACTTAGCTGCATTTAATAATCCATGAAACATTTCTATTAACTTCAGTGTGTGAATTGTGTGACTGCAGAATGGGTAAAAAAAAGTGAGAATCAGGAAAACAAAATATGCAGAAAATGAAAATAAGTGAGATGTTAAATATTTGATCAAGGCCTTTATTTTCAGGTAACCAGTTACCACCTTGGGGTCTCAAATGCCAACAGAAGCCACAGAATACCATTCTGAATTATTAAAGTGACTAGGAGAACCTTGCTTCTTTTTACTGCTTTTAAATGAGTATGTAGCCTTTCAAGCTAACCTTTGCTTAAATGTTTAAGGTAGACATTGGGTCAAATATAAAAAAGCGAAAGTTCTCAGTCTAATACTCAACCTGTAATTATAAATCAGATTATGTAATATGGCTCAGACATTTCATTTTATTTTTCTCTCTGTGTTCCAACAATTTTTTTCAGTTTGAGAGGAACCTAACCTAGATTAGTTGAAAATCTGCATTCTAGAATATTTTTATCTGTATGTGTGCTGAATATATTTTTCATTTGCTCAATTCAATGCATTCATTCATTCAACCGATATTTATTGAATATCAGGTGCTAGGCACTGTTGTGGGTGTGAGAACTGTCAGAGAACAAAATGTACAAAGATTCAGCCCCTCTTGGGCACTACATTTCGGCGAGGGAGAGAGATAATGAGTAAAATATCCTCCAATGATAGGTAATAAATACTACAAAAGGGGTTGTATGGGAGTGTTTTTGTTTAAGTGGAGCAGTCTATTAGAAAGCTAATGAATTGGGAAAGTTACCGTAAGAGTGGGCACTGTGTCATTTAGGTCAATGAGGACAACAACATGTGGTTCTGGGTGCAAATAGGCCCTGTATACAAGGAACAGCAACAGAGTCAAGGAAACCAGAGATGAGAACGGCTGACAGCTGGAGCACTTGTCAGAGCAGATCCTTGAGGGCCTTGCACACTAGGGGGAGGACTTGAGATTTTACCCTAATTGTGGTGGAAGCCACTGGAAACTTTTGAGCAGAGGAGTGTTATAAACTCACGTTTTAAAAGCATAATTTTAGCTCAATAGTAAGTATAGCCATGAAGCCAAATTGACAAAGTGGAGGTTTTCTAGTGAGGACCTGCTTTGATGCCTGTATAAGGAAGATCTGGCATGAGCATTATCTGTTCACTGTTTGTAAGAAAACACCTGGCCCGGCACGGTGGCTCATGCCTGTAATCCCAGCACTTTGGGAGGCTGAGGCGGGTGGATCACCTGAGGTCAGGACCAGCCTGGTCAACATGATGAAACTTTGTCTCTACTAAAAATACAAAAATTAACTGGGCGTGGTGGCGAGCGCTTATAATCCCAGCTACTTGGGAAGCTGAGGCGGGAAAATCACTTGAACCCGGGAGGTGGAGGTTGCAGTGAGCCAAGATCACGCCACTGCACTCCCACGTGATTGACAAAAGTGAAATTTCATCTCAGAAAAGAAAAGAAAACGCCTATCTGCTGAAGTCGTGGCAGTGACTGAAAAGTCGGCCCTCTTTGGTCATTTGAAAAGTCCACCAGTCTCCCTTTTACATTTTATTTTTACCCACGCAAAGCTTGCTTTTCCTCAGTGACAGGTCAGAAGTCAAGGTTAGAATGGGTTCATCCAAAAGCAGAGGCTGCCCCAGTCTACGGCCTCATCACAATCCATCCACAAGCAAGCTTTCCAGAATGTCCTCAGGTCCAACCCAGGACTGTGACTCTCATCCATCTGCACACTGCTTACTGCCCAAAGAGTTCCTCCTGAAACTTCATCAGCACACCGTTAGGTGATAGAAGGAAACTGCAGAAAAGTATTATATTATAGCCAGATCTCAGTTTAGTAATGACATTTTATGCCTAGAAATAATGTTTTAAATGTTCAAAAATAGGAGCTAAGTGGTCAGTTCCAGCTTTTTTCCCTGTAGAGACCTGTCTCCTGCAGCCTTGGGTGGGATGATTCCAAGGCATGCTCTTCACACTGTTTTCTAGGGTTTTCCCCTAGGATTAAGCCCTAATCATCTATTATAGTAGCTGGCTTAATATTTTACTGAGCTCCCCTTTTCTTCCCTGTATTGCTTCTTCACTACTCTGCTGGTGTTCCATGTGCCTCTCAAATAACTACTTGCATTAATTCTTACCTCAGGATCTGGTTCTGAGGCACTCAAGCTGAGCCATCCTCTACGTAAAATCTTCCTCCTTCCTGAGGTGGCATTAGGTGGCCACCTCCCTTGAGCCATAATGGCAGATAAGATCCAGGAAAAATGAAACTTACCAATAAAGGAGAGATCTGAAAATATTATTACCATTATACCCATAATCCAGTAGTCTTTTTGTGAGCTTAAGCAAGTACATGACTTGCATTTACGTATTCCTCCTTCTAAACAATTAGGAGGTAGTTGCCTCTCCAAAATGGATTTCTCAGCCACTGCATCTTCCCCACTTAGGTTAGGTAAAGCTTGGCTATTATATGAGGTTTTACCTTCCAGCACAAGGGGATGCTACTTTTTTAAAAACATATTTTTATTTCCATAGGTTATTGGGGAACAGGTGGTATTTGGTTACATGAGTAAGTACCTTAGTGGTGATTTGTAAGATTTTGGTGCACCCATCACCCGAGCAGTATACACTGCACCCAATTTGTAGTCTTTTATCCCTCACCCCCTTCCCATTCTTCCCTCTGAGTCCCCAAAGTCCACTGTGTCGTTCTTACGTCTTTGCATCCTCATAGGATAGCTCCCACTTATGAAAATATACGATGTTTGGTTTTCCTTTCCTGAGTTAGTTCACTTAGAATAATACTCTCCAATCTCATCCAGTTGCTGCGAATGCCATTAATTCATTCCTTTTTTCTTGCCTAGGAAACCAGGCTTCCTCCTAGACCAAGCTTTAGTCTTCACTACCTCAGGCAAAGAAAGCTTCCCTTGCATGAGGAAGTCATTGCCCAGCCTCTTCTCTGCTCCCTGTGTGCAGCTTCTCCCTCCCTGGCCTAGGGCCCTGACTCAGAATGACTCTTCAGCCCATGATTTTAATCAAAGGCCTCTAATCAACCTGTGGTACTACATGCTACACAAGGTTCTTAGAAATCCCTAAGCTTTCTCAGGAGCCTCCCACCCTGCTGGGAAACAAGCCGACTTGTCAATTAGAGAATATCCAAAGATGTTAAGCCACTTAATCCTCCCCAAAACTCAGTGTGGTAGGGATTGTTACCAGCCATTATAGGAAAGGAAACTGAGGCTTGGGAAGGTAAAGAGACTTGTCCAAGATCACCTTCTGGAGCCACATTTTACACCACAGGTAAGAGAAAAGGGATCCGAGAGGGCATGGACACTGTGTCTTCAGAGTGAGTGGGGAAGTACTCTTTCCCTGGGTACTTATTGGGTGCAAGTTGCATGCCCCCTGTGCTAATACACAAGGGACAAGTTTATGGGCCTCCTAAAAGTGCGGACAGTGCACCTGTCCAGCCAACTTCATGGGTGCACTGTGAGGCTCTGATGATGGGGACAGGCTTATAAAACACTCTCCATACTAAGATGAGGACGTGTCCCTGTGTCTAGGAAACGCTGGAAATTAAGTGTACAGCAATCAAAAAACCTTGACATCATCCTTGATGGCTCTCTTTTTCGCACACTCCAATTCACTCCATTAGAAAACCATATTGGCAGAATCTAGTGAATCTTGTCCTTCAAGGCCTCTCCCTGCAAGGCTCCCATGAGCCCTGGGGGCTTATGGAGAGTTCTGGGTAGGCAGAGGAAGCCAGACTGCATTAGGGAAGCAAATTTGGAACGTAAATTTCCTCAGAAGGTCTCAAGGGATAGGGACCCCAATCTCCAAGGCCCCAAGATTCTGTTATGATTTATTTCTCATTCTAAATAAATGTCCACTGGCAAGCCCCAATTCTGTCTTCTCTTTCTTAAGCAGCCCTCTCTTCCCCTCTCCCCACACAACTGTGTATGCTTCAGGCCCCAGAAATCCTTCGCTGATTTGAGGTCTGGCGTTTTCCAGGGAAGGGATTGAGAATAGAGGTGTAAATTTGTCAGAAGGAAACGGGCCGCGCAGTAAGAGAGTAAATCCTCATATAACATGGCAGAAAGTCAATGGATAAATTAAAAAATCGCCATGTAAGCTTCTTTTATTTTATTTTATTTATTTATTTATTTATTTTTTGCGACAAGCGGGTGACCACCAGAAGAAATTAACAGAGGAATTGTTAAAAAGAGCTATGATGGGAGGGAGAGGTGGCCTGCTGCTTTCATTATGAGCAAATCTAGATAATTTTATTTCGTAATAAGTAAGTGGGCGTTACTTTCGTGTATTTTTTTAAAAAGAAAATTAAATAAAAATACAAAACAAACAGAATACAAAACAGGAAAATAAAAAGCAAACACGCACGCAACACAAAACGGCCTTGGCGGTGGGGAGCCAACGGGCGGTGACGGGGGCGGGGAGAGGGCGGGGCTTAGGGACCCGGGGCGCGGCCAGGGCCGGGTCTCCTTAGGGCCCGCCCCAGCGAGGGGGCGGGGCGCAGATCTGTTTGCCTCAGACACCTTCCACCCTGGGCCGCCAAGGGAGCGCAAGGTCACGTTAGCCTTAGGCTCCGCCTCCAGCTCAGGTACTAGACGGTCTAGACCCGAGGCTACCCGGGCCGGAGGCAGGCTTGAGTACCGAGACCAAACGTTGTTCCCTCCCGGACCTCGGGCGCCGGGTCGCGCGCTGACCGACAGCCCCCGCTAGGCCCAGCAGGTCCCCTGGTCCCCCGCAGTGTCCCGCAGTCCCCCGAGACTCGCCGAGCGCCGTTGCTGAGCCCTGCGAATAGCAGGTAAGCGCAGCCCGGGCCCCTCGTCAGCCCGCTAGGACCTGGATCGCGGCTGAACGTCAGGACCCTCTTGACTCCCGGCCCCCAACGGAGTCCTGGGAGTCCTCGCTGGGGCGACAGGTGGCGGTGGAGTACGGAGCCACCGGGAGTCGAGCGAACCGGGGCACAGCTCCGCGCTGCCTCTGCGCGCGGTTGGTTCTCACTGCAGCGTATCAACCTAACCCCCAGCACCCCTTTGGCTATGACCAGAGCCCCGGAGACGTGGGTTCGGATCCCACCTTTAGCACTCGTGCACTCAAAGGTTAAAAATATAAGCATGGTGTCTAACAGATAACGTGTGCCACTCAGTGCCCGCTGCTGAGCTAAGTGCTGGGGTTACAGTGGCAGGCCGACAAACGTGGTGCCGTCCCCCGTGCAACTCACAGTCCAGTGGGGGGAGACCGACAGCAAATGGATATCTATGCAAACAAGTGTGAACGTTAAAACTATAGTCAGAGCTATGAAGACTGAAAGTCTAGGGTGCTGGAGAGTTTTTATCAGGGCCCCCAGCTACAAAGGCTGCTGGAACTAAAACTTTAGAGAATTCCCGGGCGGGGAACAACAGAGCACACTCATTTTGTTGGGAGAGAATGTGGCTTGAGGAAAGGAGGGTCGGTGGGGCTGGCCTGCAGAGAGCTGGGGAGAAAGCAAGTTCCTTCACCTTAACTTCCTCCTCTGTAAAATGGGACTGTTCTACCCATTGAGGATGGAAATGGTGAATGTAAATGACTTAGCACCGCATGATGGGTGCTGGATGTTACTCAGCACTAAATATCCAAGGCTGGATGTTGTTCTGGACTGAACACAGTGTGCCTGCCTCTCAGCAAAGTCACTTCCCCTCTCCTTGAGTCCTGTTTCTTCCTCTATAAAATAAGTAGTTCTGAGTAGAATCTCTCAAACAGCCTATTCTCTAAAACGATGACTGGTTTAGTTGTTCATTCTTGAAACATTTAACTGGCACCCACTTTGAGGATTCAGAGAGAAATCAGTCAGGGTCCCTGCCCTTCTGGAGCCCATGTCGGGTGGGCCAGGTGAAATAAAGTGACTGTTCTATCCTGGCAGAACCCAGAGGAAGGGGTGTGACCCTCTGGCCTTGCAGGGGAAAGCTTCTCTATTTTTGGCCAGGTGCACATTTCTCATAAAGCCACCCAGGAGCCCCTGAAGGTATGGTTCACACAGCTCCACTGAGCATCAGTTACTTCCTGAATTTCATTGGTGGTTCTCAGCTTTTGGTGTCACCCCTAAAACTGGACAGAAGACTTCCCAGAAGCAGCAACTATGCTGGTACCTTGCTGAGGACATATCAGACCTTGAGACCCCATGGATTTGGGAGAGCATTTTAGGTTTCAGGAAACACCTGTCAGCTGCTCACTGTATTTTATTGGCTCAAATGATCCTAATTTCTTATTTGGCTCTGTTCACACCATTGATGTAGACAAAGGAAGTGCTCTATGAAAACTGAGAGGCCCAGAGAGTGGGGGAACCCAGATGAGGCAGGAGTCTGGCACCATTTGTGGGGAGTGGTAAAAAAGAACAGTTAAGATGTTAACAGAGGGCACTGGAGGGAAGAGGAGAGAGGGCAGCCGTCGTGCAGCCTCTCTTTTCCCCTCTCAGACCACAGCAGGGTGCCAGCCCATAAGAAGGGAAGCTCCAGGCTTGGTGGTCACAGACCTGGCACTTCCCAGCTCTGTGACTGACCCTGGGCAGCTCACTCACCATGTGAGTCATGAGGATTGTGCAGGCTTAACAGGTGCTTGGCATATAGTTGGCCCTGAAGAAATATTAACTCCTACCCTTTACTTCTCCTGAATGAACTAAAATATGCATAGTTGTACTGTCTACCTCAGAAGGTTATTATGGGGATTTACTGAGGACCTAAAATACATAGAGCAGTGCCTGACATGTAGGAGGATACTACTACTATAACTATTGATATCGTTCCTTAGGCTGGACAAAAATTGAAACAAAACAGGGCAGCGGCAGGAGAGGGATAGGAGTGGAGGCGGTATGAGGAACTGTGCAGGGTGATTAGTTGGGAGTGAGATTATCTGTTGCAGTGGTTTTGCCATAAAGCAAGAGCCTGGCAGCAGAGAGGGGTGTTCTGCGTGATAAAGGGCCTCCTGGGCAGCTGCACTGTCAGGAAGTCCCAAAGTTTGAGTGTCTTCGTAGACTCAGGCCAAAGAAAGCATAGCAAAAGTTGGGTAAAACTAGGGTTGAAAAAGGTCTAAAATGGTCTTTTTGATGATGTGTCTCTAACCGATGGCTGAGTGGGGGTTCCCTGCAGGGGGCTGCCACTGCTCCTTGCAGACTCTTGCCATCCATTTGAGCATGGTAACTGCCTGAGACTGGTCTGGCTCTTTGACCTGGGAGCTATGGAGTCTAATTTTGCAAACTTTGCACCCAGTAGAGTACCAGGCCAAAAAGGCATGAATCGGTAATGAACAAATAAGTGAACAAAAACCCGAGGCAGATTTTTCACTGTATCTGTGCACGTGTGTGTGTGTGTGCGTGTGTGTGTGTGTGTGTGTGTTTAAAAGGAATTGGAAGGTAAGGAAAGATAACTAATGTATTTAAGCATTTGCTGAGGGCCAAATAGTTTCATGTATGTCGCAGCTTCGTAGTGAACACCGTAGTCTTGTAAGCAGATAAAATTGCTTGTGTGACTTTCCCATGTATCACCAAAGTGCTCTAAACCTGTTTTTACATCTGTAAAATGAGAATCATTGTAGCTAATTCATAGGGATGTTAGGAGCATTAAGCAAGATAAGCATATGAGGCACTGACCTCAGTGTACAACGTGTAGTATGGTAAGTGCCCTGTCAATAATGGCTGCCTTATTATTATATTTATTCATCTTCCCAATGATCTCCACTGTGATAAGGAAACTGAAGGCCGTAGGCACAGATGGGTGGCATGGATTCTGAACTCAGTCCCACCTGGAAGCAAAGGCACTCTGCAGACACTAACCAGACAGCTTGTGTGAAATGAAGTCAACTTTATGTGCATTTCATTCATTACTTAAAGCACTTGACTATGAAATTTTAAAAAGAAAAAAACCTGCAAAATTATAATTTATGTGCCTTTCAAGTTCAGGTATTTTATCATCTCAATAAATCTTCCATGCATCTATGTTAAACCACTTTGGGCTGTCAAAGCTCTTAAATAAAGTGGCTTGTCCTCACCAGTGTCTGTCTTTGCTCGTTTATCATGGTTCCCCAGTAAAGATGGACAGATCGCATTTTGCGGGGCAGGCCTCAGGATGGCAGCTCCTGCCCCATTGGTTTAGCTGTGCCGTTCTGCATGATGGTATTTAGCAAACCGCAGTGGACTCATGATTCCTTCATCATTGTTTCTCCCACATACACGTACACCCACGTGCTACTCTAGGAATTAGGAATAGAAGGGCATTCTATTGCTAGAGAGAATCTGAGAAATCAGCTCCAGGGAAATCTAAGATTCTTTATAATAGGTTTTAGGTGGAAGTGCCTGGGATGAGGGTGACCATGCATCTGGAAGTCAGCACTGTCTGCTCTTTCCACCCAGGAGTGCTGTGTCTGGGCTGCCTTCCTGCCGGGGGAAGGCCTGGTCTGCATCCCTGTGCCTCTCTGCTGTCCCTGCCTCTGGCCAGAGCTGCCCCTAAATCCAGAATGCCTGGGAAGCCTTCCTGAATCCCTCTTCAGCCTTCCCATAGTACCAGTGGGTGCCTGTCGGCCTGCCCTTCTCTGGCTATGCTGAATTAGCTCCTCTGATGGGCTGTGAGCACTTCCGCAGCTTTGGACCAAGTGTTGCCTGTACTCAGCAGCATGCCTGGCACGTTGTCCTCTTTCTCTCTCTCTCTCTCTTTATTCCTTCCTCCCTTTCTTTCTTCTACAAATACTTCAAGCAGTGTCCTGGGGATTCGAACAGTGAGTCAAAATGACGTAGTCCTGACCCTCATGGAGTCCGCACACATCATGAGACAGATTTAACAATAGAATTAAGCACATAAACACACATACGGCAACACATTTTAAACTGGGTTAACTCTCCTGAAGGAGGAGCCTGGTGTGTCAGGGCCGTATGTGGAAGGGAGAAAGATAGAGAAATATAGTCAGTATCACTAGAGAGAGAGGGGCCCAAAGTGTTGGATGGAGGGTTATGTTCATTTTTTCATACACCCTTGAAGACCACTGGATGATATTTTTCTGTAAATCCTGGTAAGCAGTGGTGTATGCTGCCAAGGTCATCCTACTGAGAATGTATACTTTTAAAAACAACTGTGCTTCAGCTTCCAAATGGGAGAATAATGCTGTGATCCAATTCACTTGCCCCTTTATAGCTTCCAGAGCTCCTCCTCGGGTGTTGTCTGGTGGGCTACTGCAGTTCTCAGTGTCATACATCTCATCTTGAGTAGCAGCAGCAAACAGGGATCCAGCTCATCTGAGGGTAAATCTGGTGGCGTGGACACTGGAGCCTTTTCCCTTCTGAGTGACAGAGTCCACCTGAGAGCCTATTTGTTTCCTCCTTCTCTGATACTCCTGGGCACACCAGGCTGAGGCTCTGGCATAGATTTGATCATGTTGTGGCTACTGGTCTGCTGAGAGGAAAGAAGGGCACTGCTGACTACTGTTGTCCAGAAAGGTGGGCCCACTCATCTGTGTGCAGCTGTGGCAGGGTGAGTTGGCAGTGATCCTACCCATGCAGAGCCATGCCATGCCAGCACAGTCCTTCGTGTGGAACCAGCAGTTCTCCAGAGGGGCACCATGCTTGCCTTTAAAACCCATTCATTTCCACTGAGAACAGGGAGAAAATCACACTAAAGGCCTCTTTAAAATAAGATGTGATCCAGTCTCAGGAAACATTCTCTGTCCATACTTGGATATTATTAGAGAGTTACTTTGGCCAGAGCTGTTGACAAAATACATCTCCAATCCCTACCAGTCTCAGATGTAGACCTTATCACCAGAGATGAGCTGCCATCTTCT